GGGTAGTGATGAACAAGTTGCCTAGGAGTGCAAACGGTGCTTTTTACAACTAGCATCCATGGAGTAGCACAACGGTAGCTAAGCTAGATGAAGATGAGAGCTGGCGAGCTGTCATTGAAATGGAAGGCATCGGGAGGACTCATCCTAGGACGCTGCTTTCACACAGCGCTTGTTACCCAACCTTCGCCTCCTCCATAGAAAAAGGATGCCACATGCCATATCATATCTGCACGAGCGACACGTTTATCTCCCAGATAAAATGGAGTGGCTACGCTCTGGTGGTTTGTGTGCCGTCGCCCGCCGCTTGCGTCCCTGTACTATTCGTACTAGGAACTACCAAATGGATAAGGGACACATGTCGATCAACACACAGTCAACATGCCATGTCAGCCTACAGAGCAAGTTAAACTTAAACCATCTTCGAATTTGCATGAGACCGAAACCAAGTTCAAAAACCAAGTAGGCACTTTAGAAGTTGGAGGACCAGGATGCATGGCATCAACAGCCAAGTTCAGAGACTAAAAGTAGGCATTTTAGAAGTTGGGAGACCGGGATGAAATAGCAAACTTAGTTTGAGGACTGGATGTGAATATTACTATGGCTTCTCTAAGGAGCACTCTATGTGAGTTCTTATAACTATTATGATGTGGTTGATTATCCACAAGGCTTTGATGCTAAATTACCATTGTCAGTTCAGATCACTGTAGTTTTAGAACATAGCAGCTTTGGTAGATGATTCGTTTAGGTGGTGAAACGGTGTTCGATTGAGCTGAAATTTAGTTAGGTGGTTAAAGGGCTCGTGGATATACATGCCTACCAAAATTCATGCATAGTGGAGTTGTTTATGAGATATGAACTGATTACCGAGGAGGACAGAACTGTGACTTCTTTGTTTGGTTGTTGTCATTCCTCTTGTTAGAATGTTGTGGTTATAGTTGATGCCAAGTTTGTAGCTTGACGAATGTGTTGCTGCTGGTGTACTCCTTTAGATACTCTAGAGAAGACTCCTTGTGCTCTTTCTTGATTATAGTGGAAGTTTGGGGTGGACCGGTTGGTCCCGTGATTTTTACTCCTCACCTTGAGGAGGTTTTCCACGTAAGTCGTTGTATCTATTGTGCATGTGATTGTTAATTCGGTAATGATAGGACGCGGGCGTTCGTCCCTCCGGACGCCCCGCACCTGCACTCCACTCGCTACTTTAGAGCACGCCTGCACTCTGCCTCCGTATCTCCACAAAAAACAGAGATGTCTTCTCCAACACAGTTGCGTAGGGCCGCTCGCTGTGGCCTTCTCTAGCGCGGCGGTGCCGCACCCACGCTCCATCCCTAGCAGCTCCGCGCCCCCATCCTTGGCTGCTCCGGGGTCTGTGCCACCATCCACGCCGTGCCCCCATCCACCTCGCCCAATGCAGAAGGGGAGACAGGGGAGGCATGCGCCTGCCCCTAGGGAGGCCTGCGCTTGGGGGTCCTAGGGAGGCCTGCACTTGCGCCTCCGTCAACCTCGCTCGTCAGCAGGAAGGGGAGGCCTGCACCTGGGTGTACGCTGGGCCGTTGACGTCCCCCTGACTAGCGCATGTTGCAAGCATATATTTCAAGTGTTTTAGATGTTTCAAATGTATGTTGCAAGTGTTTCATATAAATGTTGCAAAAGTAATTTGGGATGTTGCATATGTTACAATGGCTATACATGTATGTCGCAAGCGTCTGTTTCAAATGTTTCATCTGTTTATTTGGATGTTGCAAGTGTGTTTATTTGGATGTTGCATATATTTCACACATATGTTGCAAGTGTTTTATCTGAATGTTACATATGCTTTGCAATGGCTTTTTAAGTGTTTTTTTGCAAGTGTTTCAGACGCATATTTAAAGTGTTTCGTATGTCTTTGGACATATGTTGCAAATGTTTCATCTGGATGTTTTAAAAATAGATCGGGTGTTGCACATGTTCCACTCCTCTCCCTCCCCTTCTTTCCATTCCCTCCATCTTATCGTGGCAGTTCAAGCTCGATGGGGAAACCCTACCCGACGAGCACGCAGATGCCCTCGGAGGTGCTGGCCCTAGGTGGACTGATGCGGCGTGATGCCCGCTTGGTAGCCCCGGAGCAAGATGAGGTCCGCGCCGTCCACTCGCTATGCGCGGGAAATAAGCAGCCGCGGGCGTCTGTCCGAACGTCCGGGCGCTAGTAAGTAGTAACACCCTTGTTAATTTCGATGCTTATTTGATGGTAAATGTTCTCCTCATGATTCATCACAAGATGAGGGATTTATTGTGCATTATTTCTGCCATTTATCTCAACAAAAGCTTCATGCAATTCTTTTTTAAATGAATCTATATAATAATAAAGAAGAAGACTCAGATTAAGCCAACAATGGTCCCGGGTAGCTTCATGCAATTGAAGATTTTTAGAAAATTTTGATGGTTCGTTGTTAAAAAAATGATACTTTGACTGTTCATTGTTAAGTGAAGTGCGGCAATCATTTCGGCTCACTCTACTTCGGCACCATTGTAAGTTGTAACATAAATCTTGCTCCTTCATTTAGTGACTCTACTTGCTTCGTCGGTGTATATATTCTTCATTGCCTGGTCATCTCTTTCACAATCACACTTCAACACACTATAAACTGCATCAATGGCTTGTGTACGTGAGTTGTTGGGTTCGGCGAACTTGTATTGAAAGAGGAGAGAGGTAGAAAGGTGTGGAAGGTTTAAACATGAACAATATGTACGTACATCGACAATGATAAAACGTAACAAGTACCATGTTTCTTAATATGTACACATGCATGAAATCAATACAGCAAGACAAAACCGAACCACCATATGAATGTTCTGATCTGACCAGCGATAATCTTTTGATCTCAAAACATAATCAATTCCCCGCTTAACCACCACACGCCTGATCTATCCTGCGCGAATCACACACAAATAAAGCCTTTTATTTCCTTCATCAGTGCCCCGCGCCACGAGGGCTAGACCCGGCCGGCAGCCTTGCCACGAGCATGGCCACCACCTCCCTCGCGTTCATCGCCGGCGCAAAGTGGCCGACGGCGTCGACACAGCTCACGCTCGCGGCTGCGAATACGGCGGCAAGAGCCAGAGCCGCGACGAAACGAAGCGGCCAACTCCTCGGCGGCGAGCCCATCGTCGACGGATCGACGGCGGACAACGCACACGGACCAACCGCCGATGAGCCGGCGCCTCTACGACGACTGTCTTTGGCCTTTGGGCGACGACGGCTAGCCTGGTGGCATTTATAGAAGCACACGCACGCGTGCGTTCGGTTGAGAGCCGTTCCTGCTGTACCAGCATCACACGTGTGCGCTGCAAGGACATGGATCGTCGGCACCCGCACGTGTGGTGCTAGCTCATCTCCGGCCGGCCGGCCACCATTAGTAGCTGCAGTACCAGGCGACGGTTTAATTTCGACGTGACTGAGGGCTTCTGCAGATAATATTTTTCTTCTCTTCATGCATGTTAAATTGGGAACAGAAAAATCAGCGTACGTAGAAAGGTATGGACAGGGGAAGGCGACGATGGTGCGCGTGCAGTGGAGAAAAATGAGCGGCTGTTTTCAGTTCACCAGACGAACTCATCGCAGGCATTGCACATTTGCACTAGTGAATGAATGGTACGTGCACGCGGTAGGAAGGCATGGCTTTCGGATTTATGGATGGCTTCTTTAATTTGCATTGGACTTGTAGTAGCCTGCACGAACGAGCACAGCTATGTATTCAGCCGTGCAAGTCGATAATTCTTCCGGGTTATTATATTACCTTTTTTCCCCCCGATGATTTGATATACCTACTATTTCTTTCTGTAAGTGCTTTCTCATATAAGTCATAATAAAGGTCATATGACAGTGAAGGGAAATAGGGATTGCATTGCACGCGGGATGTACTGAACACCCGTTGCAATTAGGCCGGGATTGCATCATGAGCACACGACGAATTATTAACAGATATGAGCGTCAACTAGCACTGCGCTAGCAACATTATATATAGGCTAGAGTTGTTTAATTTAACTTTCTTGTAAACTATATACTCCATTTGTCCTAAAATAAGTGTTGTTCCGGCTTATGGGGTGTTTGCATTGCATATATAGCAGCTAGCCAGAGGCAAAGAAGGCACGCATTACATCCTGGTTGGTGCGTGTTGAATTCTGCATTCAGCCGCTGTTGCTGACCGTAAGCTAGCTCGTGCACATTTGTGGCGCGCGTGGTGCTTCCGCTGGCTGTCATTCTTTAAGAAGTTGCTCACTCAACAATTGTACATGCATGGATTTGATGCATGGAAGGAAAAACGAAGCAGAAGTGGAAGCAACGAGCTCAGCGTCCACATGAGATCAGATCATAATAATAACCAGAACGCATGCATGCTTGAGGCAGTCTAATAAATTAGTAGACGTGCGGTGTCAGTGCTTGCCCCATTTTTGTGACCAAGCTAGTATAATTTGATATTCCCGTTTCGTCATGCATCAATAATGGCGTGGTCAGATTTTGGTCATTCTTCAGTATGTGCAGGTTGCACGTCATCAAAGCTTCACAAACTACTCCACTAACATATTCTCCTACATATAGAAGCAAGCAGAAGATGAAAGAGACATGTTCCGTTGACTAGATGAGCAGATACATCTTGTTAATATATTTGAGAACATAGAAGAAAATTAGGCACACGGCACTTATACTTTTGAAGGGAAAAAAGACATCATAACCTCATTTAAACAGCAGAAGGTACAAAAGAAAAGTAGAAATGGAAGTGTTTCTACTAGTATCTAGTGACAAAGGTATCAAAGAATCATATATAATTAAGTATACGTGCTCTTAATTAGCACTTTAGCAGAGTATACTTTTATATACAATTTATACTAGTACTAGTACCATGGCCAACAGAGACAATCGTCTATACACATGCTCCGTACGGCGCCATTCGTTTCGTACGTGCCAACCCGTACACCGATCTCCGATGGCTGTATCCACACTGCACGTACGATAGTACGATACGCTAGTGACCGGGGCCCTCGGGGCTGGGCCCGGCCGGCAGCCTGGCCATGAGCATCTCCACCGTCTCCCTCGCCTTCTCCACCACCGCCGCCGCCGGGTACATCTGCAGGTACGACGCGGGCGTTGTGGCCGACACCTCCCCGCCGCCGCTCGCTGGTGCCGGCCTCGCGGCGCTGGCGACGCCCGCGCACGCAAGTAGCGCGAGCGCGGCGAGAACCGCGAGCTGCCTCGACGAAGCCATCGATCTCGATCCAAGTAGAAGAGGCAGGTGGGTGCTTGATCGGCGCGTGATGAGCGTGTGTTTTGGCTGGAATGTACGCGAGTTAGCGCGGGTTTGCCGGTGCTCGGTCGGGGCGTGGCGCGCTACTACCACTTATAGAAGGAAGAGAGGGGGGTCGCCGGTGGGTCGGTGGCGGGGTCGGTTGGGGATTGGATGCTGAGGCACTAGCAAGCTAGCTACACGGTGGAAAGGAAGGGAGCCGTGTGATCTAGCGCGTGGATCTGCGGAGACGAGACGAGTCGAGACTGCGGGAGGAGCCGGCCGGCCGGCGAATGTGCCGTCACGCGTGGACTAGGCAGCTTCGTAGTGATTTGGTGCGGCATACTCCTATGTGCTCTGTGTTGACCATGAACTGGAGGGCGGCGGGTGATTTGGTGCGCAAGTCAGCCAATAGAAACTGGCACTGGGAGGAGGAAGGTGGCCACTTGGACTCGATCCATGGGCAGATCCGTCCGTACTTGCTCCCGTCGTCGCTTCCACATCCGAGTTCCGCATGCAGCGCGTATGCGTCTTTGATTTTGCCAACGAACGACGAAACATATGTCAGAAAACTGTGTGCTTATTGACTGGTTGTTACGAAGTCAAACGATCGAGTCGGTGTGGTGGTAACCTCGTGGTCGTGGGGATAGATTTTCAGTCTGTGGGAGGATTCGGGTGTCCTTTTTTTTTCTTCTTTTGCGAGCAGCAAACGGGATTGTGTTTCAGCGTTCGTTCGCTTCGTTACTTTCCTGATGATTCCCCTGCTGCCTGGAAAGACCACCAGGATGGAGAATGAAGAAAGGGCGTGTGATCACCTCGTCATCACTCGGCTCGGTGGTGCATATGCGCGATTCTTTTCTTCAGCTCCGCGCGGTTCTGATCCTAAAGTGGCCGCATCTTGTAGCTTACCACCCTACGAACCGAATAGTTTTTATCGACCGGCGGAGCAAGGACGGAAGAAGTACCGAAAGTTCCACGAACCGCCGCTACGTAAAAAACGATTTTTTTAGCAATGGCATGAATTTTTTTTTAAAGCGGCTGATGATGGAGCCGCTCCTATAGTAGCGTGCTCGGAAGTCCAGACACCAGCCGTCCCTACAAATAGAACAGCAGGGACAGCTGGTGATACGAGCCGCCCCTATAAATGGGTCTGATTTGTAGGGGCGGCTCACTCACCGGCCACCCCCAGCGTTGCTATTTATAGGGGCGGCTCAATCACCAGCTGTCTCTACAAATGACCCACATATAAAACAGCTACAGCATCTTCTTCCTACTCGGGTCACTCACTCCAACCCGTGAAAGAAAGACGTGAAGGCTTTGGCCACCTCCTAAAAATTACAATACTAAGGGGGAAGATTTTGGTCTCAAATCCTTTGGTGAAGAGGTTGTAGAAGGTAAAAAAATGCCATTCCACACTTTTTTTGAAGTTTTAATGGTTGGTCAGTGAGTAATTAAAGTTTTATTTTTTTCTCTCTCTTCTATAGTGCTTGAGTTACTTATGAAGCAAATTAGACCCAAGTTTTAAATGTACTAGGGTAAATTATGGAGGGGAACAAGATCATACCCTTATTTGGTCCATGTTTCTTGATTTTAGTGAGCAATTAGTTAGCTTTATACATGTTTTATGTGCATGTAGATCTAGATCTAGGATTTGGTTTTTTTATTAATTTCGTTTTTGTAAATTTATGTTTGATAAAATTGGACTAGGGTTTGTATGAAAGATATTGGGTAAAGTATAATTGTTGCTAATTGTTGTCTTTGAAATTGTTTATTGTAATCAATAAATATGTATTTTAATTATTTATGGATAAATGAGCTATTAATTAATTTTCCTCTACCATGGTGTGTTTGTATGCTTTATGTAATTATATTAGATTTATATTTATATATATCTGAAGCATATATAATTATTCTCAAGTAATTATTAATTTGATTCATTTTTATATATATCTGTATAAGTAGTCCTTTAATATTTGTTTTGTTGTTGTTGTAAAAGATGGAATACATGAACTCTTGGATGTATGGTTCGTTAAGATTCAAGGCAGGTTTCCGTGAAGATGTGGATAAATTTATTGAAGCCGCAAAGAAGCATGCAACGACATTGAAAGAGAATAAGGATACAATTATTTGTCCCTGTAAAGATTGCAAGAACCGTATGGCATGGACAGATGTGACTATCATCAGATCACATTTAATTATGCGAGGATTTATTGAGGACTACACAGTGTGGATTTATCATGGTGAAACGGTTATTGTTAACGACGAGGATGAGGAGGAATACGACGACGAAATCATAGAATCCCTGTCTCAATATTCAGCAGAGCTTGATGCACGAATGGATTTTGAGTTTGGCAATGAACAAGGTGGTGATGCTGGTGGTTGGGATGGTAACGACGAAGGTGGTGCTAATAATGATGGTGGAGCGCGTGTCGGAGATGAAGATGATTTGGATGACATGATTCGAGTTCTTGGACCAGAGATTTTACTAAATAGCCCGAAAGATCTAGAAAATTTAGAAAGGGTGACAAAAGCATCGAAGGAAACTGTGTATGATGTTAAAAAGGGCTGTCCGACACATTGGGCATAGCTACGTTTTGTGCTTAAACTGCTCATGTGGATAAATTTATTGAAGCCGCAAAGAAGCATGCAACGACATTGAAAGAGAATAAGGATACAATTATTTGTCCCTATAAAGATTGCAAGAACCGTATGACATGGACAGATGTGACTATCATCAGATCACATTTAATTATGCGAGGATTTATTGAGGACTACACAGTGTGGATTTATCATGGTGAAACGGTTATTGTTAACTACGAGGATGAGGAGGAATACGACGACGAAATCATAGAATCCCTGTCTCAATATTCAGCAGAGCTTGATGCACGAATGGATTTTGAGTTTGGCAATGAACAAGGTGGTGATGCTGGTGGTTGGGATGGTAACGACGAAGGTGGTGCTAATAATGATGGTGGAGCGCGTGTCGAAGATGAAGATGATTTGGATGACATGATTCGAGTTCTTGGACCAGAGATTTTACTAAATAGCCCGAAAGATCTAGAAAATTTAGAAAGGGTGACAAAAGCATCGAAGGAGACTGTGTATGATGTTAAAAAGGGTTGTCCGACACATTGGACATAGCTACGTTTTGTGCTTAAACTGCTCATCCTGATACGGCTGGTCAGACTCTAGTTTCAATGATCTATTATATCTCCTGTTATGGACGCTGCCACAACCAAGCTCGGTTCTTCATCCACTCCACTAGCAGCAGAGCAGGCTAGGCACACAGGACCCATAGATGGACGTCGTACAGGCAGTCCATTTGCAATATGCATCGCAACTTCGCAAGCAACGGGTCCGTCTGGTTTGGTGGATGAGCAGGCAGACGTGGCAACTGTCAACAACGACGGCTGGGCGGGACAAGTTGGCCACCCACACAGTCACAGACCAGCAAGGGGTTGATCGAGCCAGGGAGGAATCGAATCATGCATATTGTTGCTCCTAGTCCCAGTCCCAGAACGAGCCAGCCAGGACATTTCTTCATCAACCTCGGCCACCTCATTAGTGTTATTATCTCCAGCCATTTCTAGATATAAGATGAGATAGCCAGTTAGCCACCTCCATTCATTCAGTTGGCCGAGTAGTCAGTCCGACTCAGGGCAGATACCCTGTGTTATTGATTTGATAATTTAAACTGAGCAGATGCCACTGCTAATGATTTGATAATTTCAACTGAGCATATATGGCACTTTCGATTTTGTTCCCGTTGTCGATTTTGATCCCATTGAGCAGATGCCAATGATTTGTTCCCACTGTCTTTGATATATTGTTGTTTGTTACCTGAGCACATACTACTGATGCTTGGTACCTATGATGCCAAATTAATTTGAATTGCGCACATGATGACTTCTACTGAATTGAGCACATGTTAGCACTCTCTGTCTCAAATATTTTGAATTGATGGCTTCTACTAAATTGAGCACATGTTAGCACTCTCTGTCTCAAATATTTTGAATTGAGCAAATACTACTGCTGCCTGTGATGCTCTCCTCTCCTATTGTGGGCTTATGCAGCTTGTGAACTACTACTAGCTAGTCCTACTACTATTACTCTTCTCTCTACTCTATACTACTAAGTGCTGTTCCTGCTGCTCTTCTCTCATTTTTCTACTCTCTGCAAATTTAAAATGCCTGAGATGGTGGCTGCTTGTTGTGCTTGCTTGCCCACTACTTACTGAATTTTTTGACTCTACTTAACTACTGTTGCTGCTATGTCTCTACCTCACTCTGTTAACTCTACTTAACTACTGCTGCTGCTTACTGGTTTTTTTACTCTTCTCTCTTATTTTTTGACTCTGTACTATGTCTCTATCTCTTTTACGGTCTTCTAACTCTACTCTACTGAACTACTACTACTCTACTTGCTACTGAACTACTGCTACTCCTACTCCTACTAGCTGGCTGCTACTCTACTCTCTTCCCTAACTGTTGGCTGCTACTCTACCTGCTTCCCTATACTACTAAGTGGCTGCTACTAAGTGGTTCACTTCTCCTACTCTATCTACGACTATTACTGTATCTAAGTGGCTCTGCTCTTAACTACTGGCTGCTACACTTCTCTACTCCTCTACTATTACTCCTCCTCTACTCTAATCCATTATTTACCACATCTAAGTTACCAGATTTTGATCTGTAGGGATCTTCCAACCATATGGCAACAGTCAACTCCTATCCTCTATGTTTGGGAAGCAGCTGCTGCTTTTTTTACGTATTTTCCTCTCTATGTTTGTTAAGCAGCTGTTGCTTTTTTTTTACCAAATCTCCCCTCTCCTCTCCTCTCCTTTGTTTTGCCGATGATGAAATTGTCTAAGTCCATACATTATATGGAATATGAGCTGATGATCAAGAACTTGTGAGGAACTTGGCATCATTAGCAGCCGCCCCTACATTACCTTCTCTCTTCTCTGTTATGATGCCTTGATG